AAGACAATGTTGTCTGGACCTCTGACTTTCTTCCAGGAGCAATCACTGAATGAGACACTGTCCTGGGAGGCGAGTTGGGATCATCTCTGAGGTTGCCAATCTGAAACAGCCAGTGTGTCCAGTCCACCCAGGCCTTTGATGTCCTCTTTGATTAGAAACTCAGCTCTGGGTTTGTACTGGAGTTGGGGTGGGGTGGAATTCATCTTCCTTCCACTGAGAACTGGGTTATTCCCTTTGTCCCCCCAGATCTCCCCTCCACCTTTCTCCACTCTGCTCTGAGCCTCTACAGACAGGCTGCATCACCTGGGCACCGTTGCCCCCAGCTCCCAGGAGGATTTGGCCAATGGGAGGCCCTGACAGGGGACTGCAGGGCAGGAGGACAGTGAGGTCCTTGCTGGGTCACTGTAGGTCATCTGGGTCCCTCTCCCAAGGCCTCAGCTCCTTGCAGGGAGGCCTCGCCATCCAGCTAACCTCTCTGGGTTCTGCTAATTCCTCTCTTCCGTTATGGCCAAAGGTGCTAATGGCTCTCCTGCTACTAGCCCCGGGGACCAGTTCTCATTCTTGGCTGCCCTAACCTTGTCCACACATTTAAAAATGCTCTTGTCGCCTCTCCTCCATGGCCCAGTTTGAATGTGCCATCTGCTGCGCCAGCCCCCTCACTGCTAGGCTCTGCAAACACCCTTGCCTGGTAACCAAGTGGCAACAGTCCTTCCTCATCCCCTCCCCTCTAAGCTGCCAAGAACTGTGAGCGGGGGAGGCCAAGCCTGAGGTCGCCGCCTCGAGCTCCCTCTCTGACTCACAGCTGCTGGTGGCTCTGAGTGATCGGCTGGGCTGCGTCATCTCAGGGAGGCTGGGCAGGACCAAGCACTGCTCAGTGACACCGTCCCGCAGAAAGGTCACTCATGCCTGCCACCCAAAACACAGTCTGCTGTCTTCATCCCATCAACAGCCACGGCCTCAGTGGCCTTGCATGGTGAGGCAAGAAGGGACACTTTAAGGTGGCATGGTCCCTCTTTGGGATCAAGCCATTCAGGCAGGTTATGGATTAGGGTCACCTAACTCACTTCTCCATGCCCAGAGTGGGACACAGGGGGCCCATGGCACAGTGACTCTCCCAAGAGCTTCAGTTGGAGACTGGAGGACACAGGCTTTCTGGCCTTCCAAACAGGAGCTGGAGAGAAACTTAGGGTTCTTTCTGAGACGTGTCTACATGGTTTCTGGCCTGTTTCTGTTTCTGTTCAGGAGTGAGCAAGGGTTTGGAGGCAACAGAGATCTTAGGGGCCCTATCCCTACTGTACCCCTATCTTAGCTGCACGTCCCTGTCAGTCCTGCAGGGGGCGCAGCTGGCTGTGCTCTCTGGAGGGACATGAACACTACTTCCCACTCCGAGGAGGGCAGAGGAGCCCCCTGCCTGGGCTGCTACTCTGATCTACGTGGCATTAATATGCTGCCCTGTGGCTGGCAAGTGCCCAAGGCCCCACCTGCTGGGAGGCCCTGGGCTCTGTGCCATCAGAGCGGCTGGGCTGACCTGAGGACCTCCAGATCTTCTAGAAAGGACACTATCGGTGCCACCTTCCTTGGCTGGATTCTCCGCTATAGCGATGAGTTGCACTGGAGCCACCCTGTGACCAAACCCAGAGATTAGTGATCTGACCAGCGCTGGCCAGCAAAGTCAGGTCAGCCTTGGTTAGGCTCGGAGGATCAGGCTCTGGCCACGGGGAGAGGGAGATTCAAGCAGGAATCAGCTCGTGAGCTTGGCCTCATTAACATTTTTGTGAGCACTATCAAGTTTACTAACAAGGTCTCTTTTCACATGGTGCTTCCTTGGCCAAAGCCTTTAATGGCCCCTGTTGCTCCACTTGGCATTCAAGGCTGTCCACAGCTTGGCCTCCAACCACCAGCCACTCAGCTTTATCTCTTTCTTCTTTGGCTGGAGCAGATAACGGCCATGGTGATAATAATAAACTTTAAACAGCAATTTCCATTCTGAGTTCCCTCTGAGGTTAGGGATTACTGAAGTATTTCTGAAAGAAATACTTTCAGAGATGTTAAGCCACTTGCCTAAAGTCACACAGCCAGTAACTGGTGTAGGCACAACTCCTATCTGGGCTTCTGGCCTGCCAAATCCTCTGCTTTGCCACTCTACTCACAGTCTATGGAACATCCCATACGAATGCTCCAGCCTGGGACACACAGTTGCTAGTGCCCCAAGGGGATGGGGCAGAAGGCTGTTTTCTTCACCAATCAGCATCAGCAAAGCCAATCACTCTGCAAGTCAATTAGTGCTTTTCTAGTACACCTACTGTGTGCTAGGCTTATGATTCATGATCTTCTTCCACCCTGAAGAGATGAGGTTGGAAAACAGGTGCTAAGCTGAGAACTATACTTTCCAGTCTGCCTTGCATCTGTTGGACCACTTGACAGAGTTCTGGCCAATGGATGAGGGTGGAACTAATATTTACCACTTCCAGGCCTGGGCTTTAAAAACCTCCCTTGCCATTCTCCATATCAGCTTTTCTCTGAGAGAATTAAGCCTTACCAAATTGTTCTGAGTGGCTATTTTTTCAATCTTCCAAGAATGACAGACACTTAGACCTATCCTAAATGCACAAGAAGTCAGTTCATCATGTGTAATGTGTGCCTTACAGCATTATGCTTGGTTCTCTCAGGGAACTGGGCTGAGAAGGGCTGCTTCCATTCTCTCTTCCCTTGTCTGTGGGCTATATGTTGATACCCAGACCGACCTTGGAAGCCACCTCTTGAAGACGGTAGAGTTTTTGTCAACCTGAGTCCCTGAATGACTGCATGGAACAGCACCCCCTACCCTGGCCCCCAGCCAGCGATGTGAACCAGAAATAATACGTTTTAATCTTGTTAAACCTCTGCATTTTGTGGTTTTTCCCAGCAGCTGGTGTTATCTTAAACCAATACAAAGGAAAGTTTCAATTCAGGTGGGGAAGTCTAAGGCTGTTTGGGGAGAGGCCCTCCACAGGTTCCCAGCTGACCCACCTTCCCCCATAGCCTGGGGGAAGGTCCTGTGGGTAGCTGTGTGGAGCCCAAGAGAGATGAGGCCTCCAGATCTAGCCAGCGGCCTGAGCCACATGGAGAAGCTCCCACAGGGAGTATAACTGAGTGAGAAACAACTGAACTGATGCGGATGTTTGAAAGCTTAAGAATCAGCCAGGGAGGGAGGCTAGGATGTCTGTCACCTTGGATTCAGCAGGAGAGCCCAGGAGCCTGCATCCTTGACAAGCCCTGATGCTGGTAGCAGGTGGTCTGCACTTGGAGAACTATGAGAGTGGGCCACGAAAGTGTGCTTCAACAACCTGTCCCCCTCCATGGGGGTTGCTACATGATGCGACTGTCCCAGAACCCAGTTTCCCATGCTGCAAGGCCGGCAGAGATGCCCTCTGTGGGACTATGCATCAGACAAGACTGAGTCAGAGTGGCCTGCCTAAAATCAGACCCAGGGAGTGAGCACTGGGGCTGAGCTCATCTCTGAGGCCCAGCTTTGAGTGGGTGCTGGGAGTGGGGAATGCCTCGGGCAGAGTGACACCATGGGCAGTAGGCTCTTGCATCCTCCATAAAACCCCACCATGGCTAAGCAGCCCCTCCTGCCCCAGAGCTGCCTGCCCTGCCGTCAGCCTACCGTCCTGACCTGTTCTCTGACTCCCTTCTCCCCTGCTGCTCTCTCCCCTTCTCCCTCGCCCTCTCAGCTCCTTAGGATAGCAGACCTTAACCTCTGGGTGCCCTCCTAACAATGGAAGGGCTCCATCCCCACCCACTCAGTGAGGGCCTAAAGGAGACTGGAGTGGAGATTTATCGCAGAGCCTGTTCCTAGGATCA